ATTGATGTAAGAACTCGGCAAAGGCGAATCTACAGGGGGGAAGGAGGGGTCCCCCCCCCCCCCCCAAACACATTATCGAGCCTTTGTTTAACATTTTTTTTTTGTAAAATAGTTTAAAATAGATTTTGGCCCTCCTTTTAATTTTATTTTCAGTTTAGCCCCCCAACCATAAAACTCTGGATTCGTTTTTTGGAACTCAGTGCACTTGAAGAAAAGTAGTGGGAGAAGCTGTCAACCACGCATCCCTTCATCAATTTCCATTAATTCCTTTCTTCTTCTTCCTACTTGAAGAAGCTGCCGCCCACACATCCCTCTCTTCTTCTCCATAAACAATAACTCTATTTCAAGATTGTTTAATTTAGTGTTGCTCACTCATCAAGCATCTTGGAAACAACTATGACACTAGCAACTATCAATCTGTGCACATGCATCACGCCATGAAAGGGTTTCAAGCTCTTCCCAAGTCTCACAGAGCTGCAACACATCCCATCTTGCTACTAGTCTAGGCCATTCACGAGCTTTGTTTTAAGAGCTTAAGAACAGGGGTGCCTATTTAACCCGAGAAACGAGAAAGTAAGGACAATGATGAGGAAGATAAAGAGCACGGCTGTTGGGGTGAAGAGGAAGGAGGGTGGGGACCTTACTTGGCCGGCATGGCCCTGCCATTCGACGACTCGACCAGTTCAGGAAGCATGGCTATCAGCTGATTCGAGGGGTAACAGATGTCAAGGAAGTGTGCATGGAGGATGTCAAGAGGTTCAATCTCAATAGGTTGAAGACTATTGAAGCAAATGTTGCTACCGCTCAGTAATCAGTAATGGTAGCTGCAACTAGAAAGGACTAATAAGACATGAATGATCTTTCTATCGATGTAGAAGGCATTTTTGCCAGCGAGCTTGATGTCAGCCTTGAAGATTCTGAAGGTGGAGTCGTACTTGAGGAGGTGAGAGGCTTGCTTGGCACCTCCAGTGTCGTTGATGGTGATGATGTCGAGGGGAGAGTCCTTGTGAGTTGAAGTCATGAATGTTGGAGTTCAATACGTGGCATGCCAGCTTTTTTTTTTTTTTTATTTTCCATTCAAACGAGCAATAGATAAACGGACGCTTGTTAAAAATGGATGAAAGGTTCCTGATGCTATGTTTTAAATAGCACATAAATTATTTCGCACCACTTTATAGTATAAGATATTATATACTTGGAAAAATAGTTCACTGGTGAATTTGCCCCATAAACTTTTTTTCATTTTTAAAAAAATGTAAGACTGCCAAAAGCATTAGTCAGAGCAAGTTTAATGGAAGCGCAGTCATCCAACTGTCGAACTTATTTACCAAGACCTCAAGCCTTACATCTTAATAAGACAGCCATCATCTTTATATATGTTCCAAACTCTGTATTGTTTTCCCTCCTGGTTTGAATCATGATTCTTGAATCAAAACAGATAAAGAGCTGTAAAAATTTCGTATATTGAAAATTCATGATTTGAGAGAGAATGTTATTCTTCACCTATAATGCTTATCTTAACAAACAACATTTAAAGCTACACACGCACATTAGGAATAGCTAGGATCCGTTCGATCATATGTAGTTTTGCAACTTGAGAAAGAGAGAGAGACATCATGCTCGGTCCAAATTGATACCCATTCAACATATAGGGCCCACTTGCGTGTCTCTGCGTGGGGCTCTAATTATATAAATTATATTGTTTAGAGAGAACCTTTTCTTTTTTTCTTTTTTTAATAAGCTGTTTAGGGAGAATTTTATTGATACCCCAATTTTCTCCGCCCACTAGCACGATGCATATATTCCTTCACGCCTGAAATTAGTTACATATGAAACCACACCTTACCTATTGATTCTATAAAGCATGAATCAATCTAAGAGAAGCCAAATACATAATTACACACAAGAGACAGACCCTAGCTAGCTAGATGGCCAATATGGAGGATTTAATACGCTGGTTCAGACTCCTTGATCAGCCATCGGTTCCAGCGGACACACATCCCCAGCACAGCTCCAACCTTGCCGGAACTGCCGTTCCCCAGGGAATCCCCGTCGCAGCAGCGCCGGTACCGAACTTGCCTCCGGGGATGTTCAGCAACACGGGCACACAGAATATGAAAGGTCTTATAAACAATACTGGCCACACCACCGGCAACGGAAATGGTTCGGTTATCTTCGGTTCCTTTGACACCTCGACAAGGATCAGGATGAATTAATTAGGAACGATTAAGTTATCGTCTCTAGCCCCTTCCTCTAATTAAAGCTCTAATAATAAATATTTCTGTATGCATAATTATGTTTTAGTTTTAAAGGATTTGAATCTTGGTCAAGAAAGCTGTCGCAATGATATGAGGTTTGTGTACCTCTGCAGTTTTCATAATAAAAATATTTTCTTTTGGTGGATTGATGAATGTCGTTTAATATCAACAGATATAGGGCTTTAACTCTTAAAGCCTTCCCGACGTTTTAGAATGTAATAAATTGGCTTTTCGTAAAGATTTTTTTTTTAAAAAAAGGTCTTTTAATTTGTACAGTAAATTGCTTGTCTGGTCGTCCTGGAGTTTCAGCCATATATTTATCCCAAATGTTTTTTTGTTTATTTGTTTGTTTTGTTTCATATTTAAATTATATTCTGCAGTTCCTAATATTGAAATTTCTTGAAAAACTAACATTAGTATTTTAAGTTAAAAATTATGAAAGGTTCGCAATAAACATGCCTTCTTTGAGAAGGTTGTTGATGAATTTTCTTTCCTCGTACATATTAAAGTTATTGTAGATTATATTTATAGGTTTTTTTTTTAATCTTTAAAAGCCTAATATAATTGCTTTTCCCTTTCCTGTACATATTGTATACGTAGTTTTATTTGAAAAAAATTATATTCTGCAATTTATTTTTGTCATGATCTGATTCTTTACTTTTCTGGCTTTGCTGTTGTCAATTTAGTTCTTTAACGATGGAATGAACTCGTGAAGTAATTAAATGATATTCTTTTGGAATAAAATATGTTTACTTGAGTTGGGCCATGCATATCTCGTAATAGAAAGCGCGGTTCAAATAATATTTATTCTCTTTATCATGAGCAGAATTTGATTGAATTACCATCTTAAAATCATAAAATTTATGATTTGTATTTCAACCAACTTTTGTTGGTAACGATTAAATCAAAATGAAATTTCGAGGAAAAAAATCGTCACGTAACAAGAAAATTATTTTGTTATCAGCATTCTAGACGCAACAATTTTTATTTTTATTTACTTTTTAAAAAAATATGTCTTAGCAAATCCCTTCAACTCTATATATATATATATATATATATATATATTTTCAAGTAAGCCCCCACTCCATAAAAATCAAAAAAATGAAAAGGAAAGGAAACCCATTCCAATGGGCTTCTTTGAACGGTGGAGGCTCTCTGAAAAGATCCCATAAAAGGATGGGCCCAAAAAAAAAAAGAACAAAAATAGGATAAACAATTGACCAATCTCAATACAAAGTGGTGGGCCATTAGGAATTAGGATAAATGATTAATGACACATGAAATTTGAGGCCCTCAGACTATGAGTTTCGGGCACCCTACCCCTAGCTATTAATTTTTTTACAATTTTTGTTTAAATTTCCTAAAATATATATACTTTTTTTACAGTTTTTGTTGAAGTTTCCCAAAATAATGGTAAATTATATACTTTTTGACAATTTTTTTTGACATGAGATTAAATAATGGTAAATTATATACTTTTTTACAATTTTTGTTGAAATTTCCTAAAATATAAACTATATTGTATTTAATTTTTATTTTATTTTTAGTAGAATATTTTTCTAAAATTTGAAGGATAAAAATTAACTTTTTTTACCTGAATAAATGTTAAATTAATATATGGCTTGAACTCAAAGCCTCATACTTAAATAGTCATGACTTTAACTAAGATTAATGCCTGATGGTAATTAGTCCTCCCGTTTCTATATATATAACAAAAAAAAAATTATATCACATAGTTTAAAAAAATTAATTAAGCATAATAATTATGTTTGAAAATAAAAAATTAGACTAAAATACTTTATATTAATTAACTTAAGCATGTATTAATTAAACTTAAGCATGTATTAATTATTTATCGTTAATGTAAATTATAAAGAGTGATTTAAAAAACATGTAATAAAATATTTATTAAAGATGTGATTTTATTTATATAAAAAAATAAGTAAAAAGTGATTTTTTTTTTTTTCAAATAAAAACAGACGAAGTACCGTGCAAGTTGAGTAATGCGATTTGTTTCCCAATCCGACAAGCCGTGAGGCTTGACGGCCTTCAGGCACTGAAAGTTAACATCAGTTGGGCTAACCTTATAGTAAGTGCTTTGAAAACTTGAAATTAGCCTCCTCACAAGAAAGCCCGCCTCTAGTTCTTTATCATCGGCAAGCTTCATGGCCCATTTGATTTGATATGTAAACACATTAATTAAAAATTTAAAATAATTTATATTTATTATAGTTTAGTCCGTTTTCGTACCATCGTGCCTGTTGTGTATGCCAAGTGTATTAAAGGAGCTTTGTCTTCGGATAAGATATTAATCAGTGATTGTAAGCTTTCAAGGTTCTTTATCACAATTTCTTAGCGTGCCTAAGCTATTGAAATTTTAGATGATTACCAAGTTTGCAAGGAAGTAATTGCTCGTTCTTTAGAATTGAGTGCAACGTGAGTACTCTGATAACCGAAGTGAAAAGCAAAGTAATAAATCTGGGAAGCCTAGGTTGGAAATAAGGTTACAACATTCAGATTATTCTAAATGGTCCGGCCTCCTAGACCCATTGAGTTGGGCTGCACAGGAGAATTCTCACATGGGCCCAACGTTTTTACCCATTGGGTGTGGAAAGACTCTAGCTTAATATCTTCCTCTTTTATTTTTTATTTTTTTAATTTGAAAACACACACCTTTTTTGTTTTTGAATTAATATTGAAAGTGAATGAAAACAGGGAGAAGAAGAGCAGCAGTAGGGAAGATGCATTAATTTTTTCCATTTTCTTTTATTAGGGGTACTCGAGCTGTTGCTGTAATAACATGCATGGGAATTGAAGATCAGCTGAGCTGAGATTTCCACATGATTATTCGTACACGAAACCACACGATAAGATCACTAACGAGCACTCACATGATCAAAACCTTAAATATCACTCTTGAGAGCAACAGTGACATTGTTAAGCTCGTCATGATCAGCACCGATCTCCCAGTTTCTGCGTTCCCCAAATCCAAAGGGATACTTCTTCTGTTTGTTAGGAGAGAACAGCCCAAAGTGTTTTTCCAGTTCTGGGCTCTTCTGGTTCTCATCGAACATCGCAAAAATATACGTCTCCACAGGTCCCGGCCTCATGGGCGTACCTTTATTAACGTGACGAATCAGATTGTCCAGGTAATTCTTCGCATTGTCGTAAGTAGCCCCAAACGCCCCATCAGAAGGCCACCCACTCTCCGACACCACCACCCTCACATACCCAATCCTCGTACTGTCCAAAGCCGCATGAACCGAATCCAGCATGGCATCGAACAGGCTCTGGTACCCTCTCGAGCCATCCCACACCACCACGTTCGGAGAAGTGAACAGAGCATATTGCAGAGATATGTCACGTGGGTTGCCGGAATAGCTGAAGTAAGGGTATATATTAGCAAGCAACGGTGCGTTTGCGTAGACCAAGTAGCCGATGATAGGGTCCAAGTATGATCTGACGTCGTTTCGGAAGCTACCCTTGGACGGAGGGAATGACGTCCCGATGAGGGTCGTGTCAATGGCGGTGGACACCTTGATTCGGTCGTGAAGGCCTCTCCCCCTTATGGATTGGTACACGTTCTGGATGGCCGGAAGGACGTACTGGGCCGCCCAAGAGGAGCCTCCGACGGGGCTCACTTCGTTGCCAACGGCGATGTATTTGATGTTGACGGAGGGGTAGTAGTTGAAGACGTAGCGTTGAGCCCACTGCTCGGCGTTGGCGCGGCTGGCTGCTAGGTTCTGTAGGTCGGAGTTTGGGACGCCGAGCATGAGCTCGATGCCGGAGTTTCGAAGAGCTTCAAGAGCTTCTTGGTTGGGATCGTAGAGTCTCATTCGCCTGATGTTGTTGGCTCTGTAAAGATCCACCACTTCGCGTTTCGATGGCAGGTTGTTGCCCATCATGCCATAGCACACTCCGATCTGAGCATCTGCAATAATCCCACAAAGAGTTTGTTTATGTAAAAGTAATTAAACAGTATGTGGTAGTGAATCGGAGATTTTTTTTTTTTTTTGGTGTTTAATTGAAGAAAGTTGACTTCTACTTCTAATTCTGCTTCAAAGAAAAGAAAATTTACTGTACTGCTCATCTCCTAGATTGGCGGGAACTATATACGTGTACATATAATTTCTATATACCTCTAAGACAAAGTAATTTCACACCATGACATAAAAATTCTGGGTACATGTATACCAAAGTAGCTAACATAAAAATTCGCTTCCATATTTCGGTTCAAGAAGAGATTCAATTTATCAAAAGTTACCCCAAAAAAACAAAACAAGTACAATAATATCTCTATGGAAAAGGTTCGAGGTGGAGAGATTTAAATAAATACAGAGTTTATAGGCTGATGGATCACCTGTGATGCGAAGATTTGCCGTGAAGAGTGCGAAAAGGAGTAGAGAAGCCAAGAAGGCAGGCTTGCTAGTTTCGGAGCAACAAGCCATTTTAATTTGATTGAAGATCATATGAGGGTTTGTGTGTGGTCTGATCTCTCTATTCATTTATATAGAGGACGTACACGAGGTTATTAATGGCTATTGGCCGTTTTCACATTAATAAGAAAAATATAGTGTAGATAGATATATAAATTGCAAGAGCCAAGAGCAGTCTATGTTTACCAATCAACCAAGTCAAGTCTGCTTTCATTGAAATTTCAAAATATCTTATCCTTTCCTTGTTTGATTACAATGGGTGAGTCGTGGGGTAGATATATATCATGTCTCTCCCGCGAAATATTATGCTTTCCGTCCCTTCATTATTAATCCTACTATATCCGATTGACGTAGCTATATATGTAGCCAATCATCTAATAAATATTTTTAGTTAGCTGTCTCAAAGTAAACGATGCAAATGAATACATATTCCTTCTGCGTATAGAATCAGAGACCGGTGGTGATCAAACAATCTCATCAGATACATATCAGTCAATTCTTAAAATTAATTAATATCAACCGTTCAATTTTTAGGTCTCTCCTTCATTTTATCTGCCCCAAATGTTTTTGACGTCCTTTCTTCAACTTCAAAATAATAAGAAACATCCATAAATAGGGTGTTGCTAAACGATTATATTGATGTGTGTGTGTGTGTGTGTGAAATTGGAATTTGATGAAAACTACTTGCTGCTGGATATTCAAAGTGTTACTTATTATAGTCTAGTAATAAATATCATGCGGTCCAAATTTTGAAGTCTCGAGTTCAATTTGTATATCTTTGGCAAAAAAAAAAAGGAGTTTAATTTGTATATACGTAGAATTGAACTATTAAGTATATCTTCAATTGACATCTTTATGTATGCGTGTTTGTACTTAGGTATATCTGCATGTATGTTTTTTTAGGTATTAATCAAAATGCTTAGCACTATGATTTATATTTTTCACTTTTACTTTCTGATCGATGTCTTGTATAAATCTTATATATGTTACTAAAAAAAATGTTTTTGGGCTATTATTTTATGAAAAAACAAAGAATGATGTTTCAAAGACAGAGTGATAGGATTCATTTCAAATACGCGCTAACTGGTGTTAATAAATGAAAACGAACTTTCCTTAATGGTTGGTGAAGAAGAATAAGAACAAAGTGCAATATAATGATGAAGTGTGAGGTTGATGGAGGCTGCCATAACATAATAAAATCAATAAAAAAGAAACAACTTGAAAACTTGGGAATACATACACCATATCTTACTTGTCCATTCATTGCAAGTTTTGCTCTTAGCTGCCACCGATCGAGTTTGAGTGTTTTGACTACCCTCTTAATTCAAGCTTTTTAGCTCATTCTTCCACTTGATAAGAAAATCATCACACTTATATCTTACATAAATAATCTAAATATTAAAAAAACCTCATAAAATCACAAAGTTATTCTAAAATCTCATTTCCTTTAATTTACTGAATTTTTCATCAATTTCCTATTATATATTAAAATTGTCAATCATTGCTGAATATACATATATAATTGTTAACAGAATTGTTTAGTTGATCAACTATAGGCGGCAATAATTAGCAACTATCTGGTAATAATACAATTGAATCAAAGAACACAATACTTCAAAATAATTTTGTGATTTTATAGTACTTTTTTGTATTTAATTGAATCACTTATGTGAGACATGGTAATGATTTTTTTCAATATATATCTATATATTTACCTGTATTTTTCCAGTATATATTCAGTTTAGTCTCTCTAAAAGGATGAGTAATGAGAAATGATATTGCAATCATGGTTTACATATTAATCTTCACAATTTTTTTGCTTATTAACAGATGTTTTATAAAATTATGAGGATTGATTAATAAAAAGTAGATGCATGTGAGCCTGTCACACATGAAATTTATTGACAAATTGACAAACAAATTTATGGAAGTCTTATCCTAAACTGTGAAAGGGACTCTTAAATGAGATTGGTTAGACTGAGCAACAACTTGTTGATCAAGTCCTCTGGATTGAAAATGATTTAAGGGCTGCTTACGCATTTGACATAAAATTTCTTGTGGGGCTCCACCTATAAAACGACTTGATATATAAAAATACGATGTGCCCATTAACTATATCACTCCCTCTCTATATTTTGGTACAATGAATTGGCTCACTATTTTAGTAAACGCATGCATGCTTCCTATTTGATTTTATACTTAAAAAATATATATTTCCTACCCACCTCTTGGCAAAGCATCATCACTTATTTATATTTTCAAGCTTTTTTTTTAATTTTTCCCCAATCTTGAGGTCAATTAATTGCATCATCATGGGTTTGATTTGTTAATATCTCTATTAGTTCAAAAGAAATAGTTGTCTAATTATTATATGCACAGATTAAAAATAATAATAAATAAAGACGTATAATAATCATGGTAGATGTATTATTAAAATTTTAAAATGTAACTATTTAAATAACAATATAAATTTCAGAACGATAATTGTTTGGAACCACATATAACTGCCAGGGAGCTCGAGCAGCAGTCACATTTTTTTTTTTTTTTGCCGGAAGCAGCCACGATTCATTATAGGCTTTAGCGTTTGGATTTATTCACATCAAGCAAATTTGTTGAAAAAATAATAAAATTTCTCTAAAGTATATAAATGATAATTTAATTTTTTAAAATATCATAATTTTTTTAAAATTCTTTGAAACTTTTTTATCATTAATAAATTTATATAAATTATTAAATTACTCTTGTTAAAAATAAATGATTCACAAGTTTTGTTTAACTATTAACAACTTTTCTTCTTATATTTACAACAATACTATAGCAAATAAGGAATTTAACACGTTGGATTGTTGCAAATATAAGAAGAAAAGTTGTGAATATTTAAATTAAAATTATGAATCATTTATTTTAATAAGGGTAATTTGATAATTTATATAAATTCATTAATGATAAAAAAGTTTCTAAGAACTTTAAAGGAATTATGATATTTTGAAGAATCAAATTGTTATTTATATACTTCATAGGATTTTATTGTCATTTTTTCATATTTTTTTATAATTTCTTTTAATGAGTTATAATTGAGGGTTAGATTATAAGTAAGTTAAAAGTTAAAGAATTAAAAAATTAATTTTTTTAAATGAAAATTTTGGGTTGTAAGGTTTAAGAGGGCTAGGGCTTTTTTTTGTATAAACTATCCGGTATCCTAGGATATTTTGGGTTCATTGCCCGTCCCAAACTAATCCGGATCTCGTAAGAAGACTTACGATGGTAGCGAGATATTGATGGGACAACTTCTTTGAGGTCGCGTTAATTATCATGTTTGTCACTTCTCAGAGTTTGAACCCTCACCCTGAAGAATGCTGTAATAGCCTTTATTAACTCTACCGAGTGCCCATTGATAGGGCCAAGGCTATTAGTATGCCTAGCTAATTCTATTAGGTTTTAGTTGTGTTGTTATTATTGGTTGTGTTATGATGTTACTAAGGCCCAATATCTTGGCCCATTTGTATTGTGCAGTTTAAAACCAATCCATGTGAAACCATTGCATTTTGAATTATTAAAAAAAAATACAACTAATAATATTCAAATATTATTCTTCTCTCTTCTTTTAATAAGAACATGCCACTTGAAGAGCGCTAACCGAATTTATTATTATTTTTATTTCATCAATCAATATTTTAAAAAATTAGGTAATATTATTACTCTCACTTAAACTAATTCAATCGTACATTGTGTAAGACCATCATTACTAACATCAAGTAAATTTCTATTATCTTACTCTTGTTATATCACACATTGTAGACTACCAATCTTCACATGTGATTTAGAATTGAACTTATAAAAATACAATTATTGATTCTTGTAATGTAATCGAGTTTTATTTTTATTTTTTATATTTTTTAATATTTTTAATTTTTATAGTTTAGATAACATTGAATGACATTTGTTCTTTAAATCTCTATAATAACGATGGATTTATGTTGAAGGGGATGGGGGCAGCTGCCCCCACTAACATCAAAGCCATCTCTTAAATGTAATAAAGGAAAATTTTCACCTGCCTCCTATAAAAAATTGTCATTTGCCCCTTCCAAAAAACTATTACTCTTGCATTACTTAAATTTTTTAAAAATTTCAGTTTTCACCACCTAAACATTTTCTCAAGCAAGGAAGTTAATGTTATTTACATGCTAATTTTGTAGGAAATAGGGATATTAATTCGAACAACTAAAAATAATGCTGGCTTATATTATATAAATGTAAGAATATAATAAAACATTATTAAATATTTTTCAACTTCTCAACTAAAATACTAATCTTTATTTGCTAAAAGATAGTAAGGTTAGATTTTATAATTTTTAATTTCTACTCATTCATACTTGAAGGTAATACCTTCTAACAAAATAGAAGATAATTTGAATTCTTGTCAATAGAGGTGTTTACATTTAATATTTAATAGTATCTCAAGTAAAATTGCCTAACCAATAGGAGAATATCCATAAACAAAAAAAATAGAAAATAATTTTTAACTGTTCATATTAAAAATATTTATTCTGAAACAGTGTAATTCTTTTCATCAAAAAAAGAGCATAAGAGAAAATGATATTAATAGCTACTACTTCTTCATTCTATTATTTTAAATATTAGATTAATATTTTTTATTTATATAAGAGAATTAATTTTAAAATATTATCATTTTAGATTTTTTTATTTTTTATGTATTTACTTTTTAAATAAAATATTTTTATTGGTGTAAATAAATTATTATTTTTAATTAATTTAATAAATATTTAGAATTATATTTCATAAATATTAATATTTATGTTATTTAAATTTGTCCCCATAAACAAAATTTCCTAGGTCCGTCACTGCCTTATGGTTTTAATATTTTTAATCTCTATAAAGATTGAAACTATTGAAAAAAAAAGCTGCATAAACTAAAAATAAAATTCAATAAGACTATAGGAATTAAAAATTTTATTTTCTCATTTCACTCTAACCATATGTAATTTCACGAGTTTCAATTATCTGGGCTCTTAAATAACACAAACACACATATTATTCTATTAATATTTAATTATTTAACTTA